GAAAGACCTGATTACTGTTTCTTCAGTAATATCATTTCAGGCTTTTATGACAAAGTTACACAAAACATCCAATTGTGGAGCACGCATGTTTCCTCCTTTTGTTAATAACTTTTCGCCGCTTACCATCCACTCATTCCACTGTTCTCTAATGCGATCTTTAAATGGCTTGTTTAGGCACACATCCAGTGGCTGTACCAATGATGTCAATCCTCCAGGAATAACTGCCGCATCTGTGTTTATTCTTGCCAGCCTGTTCTTTGTGCTGGTAGTTAAATGAGCCCTGAACATATCCCACACCAGTAGGCTACGTTCTTGACGAAGTCCACCTGGTCGCCTACTCCATACATTATCAAGCCATAGCTTTACCCCTTCTTCATCCATCCATCCTTTTTCATTCACATGTACAAAAACTCCAACAGGGAACTTGATTTTCGGCATTGTTTTTCTTTTAAAAATAATCATTGGTCTTAGTTTGGCACCATCAGCTGTACATGCTAGTACCACTGTAAAGCTGGACTTCTCATGTCCTGTTGTTTTAATTAACACTGTTTTTGCACCTTTTGGATTAACAGTTTTATTTCCAACCATATCGAAATTCATAGGAGTTTCATCCATATTTCTGATCTGGCTTAATGCATAGCCATGTGTTTCTTGCGCTGTTGTATTACATATTGATGGAAAACACTTACTTTGCCATCAAGATCTGCAGGTAATTTCTGTGCAATTTTGGTCTTTTGCCTCAGTACCAGATTGTGCCTTTCCAAGAACCTAGTACTCCAGGATACAGTGGCCTTAAATCCTTTGCTGTTATCTGGGTTAGATTTGGCCCACTGAAGTGCAAACATACGTATTTTGTTTCGTGTCACTACGTAACCATTTTGACGATGCTCAAGAACCATGTCTGCTACATGCTTTTCGAGTTCTGGCCAATAAGGGGGCCTCTTCTTAATGCACACTTACGCCTTGGCATACTCTTTAATGCATCTTCATTTGCTTTCCAGTCTCGGACCATCTTTTCTGTTACTCTATATTGTCTTGCAGCAGCACAGTTATTGTGTTCCTTGGCAAAGTTTACAACTTTCAGTTTGAAACTGGCTTCAGATTTCCTTCTTCTTGCTGGAGCCATGATGGGTTCTTTTCTACCAGCCATTTGTTGTACACCCACTAATCTTTTAGGCTGGGGTTATACAGTACTGTAGCTTCAGCTACACACAGAATGTTCTATTACGGTACCTTTTAACTCACTGTATGTGTCCTGATACAGCAGCTTTGGCTACACAGAACGTTCCTGTGCTGCAACTGTATGTACCACGGTGAGCCAATCACAACAAGCAAAGGTTCAAAGGTTATAATAGACTGCCTCTCTGACTCTGGCCAATCTGAGCAGGCTTTTTCCTAGAACACAGTGTAGCTTCGGGTACAGAACATGTATAATTTGCATGCATAAAAAGCCTGCTTGGATTGGCTGAGTTAGAGAGGCGGTCCGAGCAGCCTTGCAGTGATTGGTGCGGGATCGAGTTGGAAAATTCATTTAGCGGCATATCAAGACGTTTTTAGGGATATACTCGGCATATAAGATGACCCCCCGATTTTTTTTTTTTTTTTTCCTGTTGACTTTTCTTTTTTTGTTTCAAAAGTCGTCTTATAGGTCAGAAAATACGGTAATATGTTTTTATTGATTTCAGAGAGGAAGGGAAAGAGAAATAGAAACATCAATGATGAGAGAGTCATTGGTGAGCTGCCTCCTGCATGCCCACACTGGGGATCCAGTCCAAAACTCAGGCATGTGCCCTGACCAGGAATCAAACCGTGAACTCCTTGTTCATACGTTAAAGCTCAACCACTGAACCATGCTGGCCAGGCTCAGTCAGAAGTTTTGTTTTAAAGATGAAATTTATTTTAAAAATCCTCATAGCCCAGCTGGCATGGCTCAGTGGTTGAGCATTGACCTATGAACCAGGAGGTCACAGTTTGATTTCTGATTCCCAGTCAGGGCACATGGCCAAGTAGGGGCTCCATTTCCATTGGGTGTGTGCAGGAGGCAGCCAATCAATGATTCTCTCATCATTAATGTTTCTATCTCTCTCTCTCCCTCTCCTTTCCTCTCTGAAATCAAAAATATATATTTTTTTAAATCCTCAAATAAATCAATCAGATTTATAAGAGTAGCTAGCTAGCTTAATTTGGCAAACAGGAAGCGGGGGGCAGAAAGGATGGAGACATTTTTGGCCTGAGCAATTAAAACAGCCATAAACCAAGGACAAAAGTATTTCTGGCCTGAGTAATCAAAGCAGCCATAAGGTAGATCAAAAGCAGCTCTAACCTGAGCAGCTGAGGGAGCCATAAGGGAGATCAAAAGCAACTCCAACTTGAACAGGTAAGATGGGTATGTGAAGGGCAGAAACGGCTCCAAGAGACCTTATGTCCTAGTTATGTCACTAGGAAAAGGTGAACTCTCGTGACGATAAAGAAATGTTGCAGGATAAGGAGGAGATAAAGTAAGGGGCACCACAAGCTCTGAAACTAATACTATGTACAGAGTGACGAATGAGGAAAGCATGGGGATCCTAAATTAAGGAAGAGTCCAATTACAAAAGGTCAGTTCAGATAAAGAACTGCAGCCTTTATAAAACTGGAGACAGACTCAGCAGATTTCAGATTTGAATTCTCAAATCTTTTTAATATCTGCCAAAATTGGTTTGGCTCAGTGGATAAAGTGTTGGCCTGCAGACTGAAGGGTCCTGGGTTTGATTCCAGTCAAGGGCATTGTAACTTGGTTGCGGGCACATCACTACTGGAAGGTGTGCAGGAGGCAGCTAATCAATGTTTCTCTCTCATCTATGTTTCTAACTCTCTGTCCCTCTCCTTTCCTCTCTGTAAAAAAAATCAATAAAATATAAAAGATAAAATAAAAATCCTCTTAATATCTTTCTCTTGGTATGAAAATAGCAATACTATGATAGTATTTTTTTTAAGATTTAAATCAACTGTAATATTAATGGTTATTAGCAAATCTTGATTTTTATTACTGTTAAAACAAGATAGAAATGTGATACTTTAAATATTCTTTTCAATTTCCTATGAGCTATTTTATAGTAAACTAGAGGTGTGGTGCACAAAATTCATGCTGGCTGGGGTGTGGTCCCCTCAGCCCAGCCTGCATCCTCTCCAATCTGGGATCCCTTGGGGGATGTCCCTCTCACAACCCTGTACCACTGGTAACCGGTCGTTTCTTCGGCAGGCCAAATGTGAGAGGGCACAGGCCATGCCAAGAGACCCCACCAGTGTACCAGGAGAGCCGGGGAGGGATGTGGGAGGTTGACCAACCAGGAGGGCTCCAGGGCGTGCCCAGCCTATCTTGCTCAGTCCTGATCTGCCAGACCCCAAAAGCCAGCTATCCTACCAGTCAGAGCATCTGCCCCACCAATTGGAGCATCTGCCCCTGGTGGTCAGTGCATGTCGTAGTGACTGGTCGACCAGTCCACTGTCTGCCTCCTAAGGGTGGTCAGTGTACATCATAGTAAGTAGTTGAGCAGTGTTTAGCATATCATTAGCATATTATGCTTTAATTGGTTGAACAACTGACCAGTCACTTAGCATATTAGGCTTTTATTAGATAAGATTCTTTTTAATCTTAACTCTCACAACCATTGTTTACTAGAAAGGTGAATTCTGATCTTCATGATGGACTTTTTGATAGAATTTCTAGTAGTGATCATGGGCACCAGGGTCACTTAACTCTTGGGGTTTTATGCGGAGGCAGGCAGCAACCAGAATAGTATATTCATTCTGGGTGAGAATGTCTTTGATCTCCTTCTTTGGAGCCTATCCACATATTTTTGGTACTAGGTCACCAGGGTTTTGGAGGTGGACTGGCATATTGCATAAATCTGGGTCACGTGATCACCGCCCATCAAACGGACACAGCCAGCTCATTGTTCCTTGCCCAGAGGCAGAGCAGGCTCCCGGAGCTTGTGTTGCAGTGTGTAGTTGGATCATGTTCAGGGAGCACCCATAATCTAATGAGGCAGTTGCCCCATTTGCCATGTGCCATGGCGCTAGCAGTTTTCTTGTGTCCTAAGACCTGCCCCAACTGCAGAGGACCCTCGGATGGCATGGCTGCAGGTGTACATGAGGTGTCCTCATTGTGAGGCTCTGCAAGCAAAAAAAAAGTCCTGTTTTATGTTTTGTTAACCATAAGAACTGAGAAACATTGTTAATATAAATAAGTAGATTGTAATGGACATTTTGTTATGTCTGTGTCACTCAGTTCTTTGAATTTCTATGTCATATGCCAAAAACACACACAGTGTTATTTACTGTAAAATTTAGTTTTAGTGATTTATCAGTTGATAATTCAGATTTTCCTTCAGTTTTTTTGAAACTGAAGAATTGGAAAACACTTTATACTTGCATAAGAATTTGATAATCATTAGAGTCTGTCATTTTCACTACTGCCTCAGCATTTACACCAGTATTTCCAGTTGCCCTTATATTTACTGCTTTAGAGATTTTGCCTTTCAGGGAAACATATTCAAGGTAATAAGAGGCATAGGTTAGAGGACTGTCTTTCTTTTGTGAAATGAAAAAGCATGTTAAAAGGGAAAAAGAAAAGGTGAACTCTCGTGACACAGGCAGAGCAGTTTGAAATAATTATCTGTAGTAGTTGAAAATCTGATACCCTTAAAACCTGTCTGTACCCATGCAGCTCTTGAAAAATCTTTATGTACCTGCAGGGTACTGAACTCTCTCTGAGATCTTGTATGAAATGCTTTTTACTGCCTACCTTCAGATAAAGACTCTTTGAATAGCTTGGGACTTCTATGTATTAATACTATGATTAAATAGATGAAAAATGGAATTTGCCCTAAAACTCTTTTTGAAAATGGCTTTATTTATTTTGTACTAGAATAAATATAGAATTAATATAAAATTCTATAAAATTTGGTGAGTTAGAAGGTTGGCTTCTCTTATAATTCCTTTTCTAAAATCTTTCCCAGGTCAATGAGTGGTCATTGAAGATAAGAAAGGAAATGAGAGTTGTTGACAGGCAAATAAGAGGTAAATTATTATTTTATGTCTCCTGTTCCCTCACTCCCTTAGTGTATTTTGCATTAGTTCATAAAAATAAGCTGCTTCAAAACATAGTCAATTCTTAAGTTATTTATAATTGTTCTAACTATCCTATTTTGCTTTCTAATAATTATAAGAAGAACTAACTCCGATGAACTCAAACTTTATATTTTGTTAGAACTAAATCTTTCTCTGGCCTGGAATTCAGCTATTCAAGGGAGAGGGATCATGTTCATTTATTACTGATTTTCTAGAGCTCAGAGTTGGAAACAAAGCAGATGCTCATATACTATCGTAGACAGAATAATGTCCTCCCAAAGATGTCCACATTTTAATCTCCACAACCTGGGAATACGTTACCTTACATGGCAAAAGGGAATGTGCAGATGTGATTAAATTAAGGCTCTTGAAGTGGGGATATAATCCAGGGCTGTCTGGGGGGGCCCCGTGTAATCACAAAGGTTCTTAGAAGAGGGAGGCAATGTGTTGAGGAAAGTGAGGGGAAAGGAGATGTGACCACAGCACCAGGTGTTGGAGTGATGTATTTTTTATTTAAATATATATTTTATTGATTTTGTACAGAGAGGAAGGGAGAGAGATAGAGAGTTAGAAACATCCATGAGAGTCATCGATCAGCTGCCTCTTGTACACCCCCTACTGGGGATATGCCCGAAACCAAGGTACATGCCCTTGACCGGAATCGAACCCGGGACCCTTCAGTCCCCAAGCCGACGCTCAATCCATTGAGCCAAACCGGTCTCGGCGTGGAGTGATGTATTTTGAACATGGAGGAACAGGCCGTGCGCCAAAGAACACTGTTGGCCTCTGGAAGCTAGAAAAGACAGGGAAGTGGATTCTCCCACGAAGCTTTCAGAAGAAACACAGTCCTTCCAACACATTGATGTTTTAGACTCAGAATTACAGAAGAATAAATGCATTGTTTTAAGCCATTAATAATAAAGAACTAAAGAAATGATTTTATGGAATGCAAATTAAATAAACTTACATAAGTAAGGAATGCAATTCCATTTTCACTACTCCAAGCATGGCTTTAAATTGAGGGAAATATAATTAATTGTTGTTGAGTATCACTTAAAAGTAAGGTGACTTGCAAAGAGATAATGACATTTAAAACTTTAATGATTTTTAACACTTTCATGATTAGAATAAAATTAATACCATAAAAATATTCCCAATATCTTTGTTAAAAAAAGAATCGGAGAGGGGAATTTCATTCCCAGCCGCGATGGAGTGAGGGATTCAGACTTGCACTCTCATTGTAAATAAAGAAAGAACAGGACAAAGTCTATGAAACGTCTGTTTGCAAACACTGGACAACTGGCAGTACAGAATTTTGATCACCGATAGAAGAGAAACAAAGGGAGAGAGCCCTGATAGGTACTATTATGTCCCTGATTTTCTGCCTGGAGCAATTTTCTGAAACAAAAGAAACATGGAAGGGGGTTCTAAACAGAGCATGAGTTGGGGAAACAAATTAGGGATCAGGGAAGCTGCAGTGGCTGGACTTTGTAGGCCAGTGTATCAGAGAGAAGGGCATTTCCTGATAAAGAGCCCAAACATCTGCATGGTGTCTCATTGAGTCTCTGGCCGAATACTGTGCCCTGTATACTTAGAATGAGATTTCAAGTGGTTGGTCAAAGAACAATTACTGAGAACAGAACAAACTACTAGGAAGCTACAGACTAAACAAGTCCCAACACTAACAAATAACTGAGAGATGGTAGAGTTCTGATCCCACACAGTAATGAGACCTTTTTGAACATCTAGTACAGTTAATAGAGAACCCAGAAGGACCATGCCTAAAATTAAGGCTAAATAGCCCTAGATTACAGGCCATACCAACAGAGCTTAAATTCAAGTCTTAAAAGCTGATCTGCAGGCAATTTAACTGTCTTCCAAGTAAAGCTGCTCTTTAAAAGAAAAAGAAAAAATTTAGACACTTAGCAATTACTGGGAAGAAGCAGAAAAGTGGGAATCAAAATAAAAAATATATAAATAGACTAAAAAAAAACCAATAATGGTAGAAAGCAGACAAGAATTTTAGACAACGTATTATAAATACGTTGAAGAATTTAAAGGAAAGCAGGAACACAGTAAGGAGATAAATAGAAGATAAATTAAAGAGCAAAGTGTGCCCTTGCTGGATTGGCTCAGTGGATAGAATGTTGGCCTATGGACAGAAGGGTCCTGGGTTCAATCCAGTCAAAGGCCTGGGTTGCTGGCTTGATCCCCAGTGGGGGGTGTTGAGGAGGTAGTCAATCAATGATTCTCTCTCATCATTGATGCTTCTATCTCTCTTTCCTTCTTTCTCCCTGAAATAAAAAAAAATATATAAAATAAAAAAAAGAAAGAAAAGAGCAAAGTGGAACTTCTAGAAATAAAAGATCCTGTATATCGGATCTTTTAATAATAAAAGGCTAATGTGCAAATCAACTGAACAGTGGAATGACTGGTTGCTATGACGAGCACTGACCACCAGGGGTAAGATGCTCAATGCAGGAGCTGCCCCAAGTAGTCAGTGCACTCAGCCAGAAGCCCTGAGCTGGGCTCACAGCTGGTGAGCGCAGCGGAGGTGACAGGAGCCTCTCCTGACTCGGCGGCAATGCTGGGGCTGTCAGATTGCGGCTTAGGCCTGCTCCCCTAAGCCTGCAGTCGGACATCCCCCAGGGGCTCCCAGACTACGAGAAGGCACAGGCCAGGCTGAGGGGCACCCCCACCCCCTCGAATGCACAAATTTCATGTACCGGGCCTCTATTCTGAAATAAAGAAAAATAAAATAAAAATGTCACTGAATAGGTTTAATAAGCAGATTAGACACACAGAACACAAGATCAATGAAACTGAAGATACCAATGCAAACTTCCAAAACTATAGTACAGAGAGCGGAAAAATGTTTCTGTTTTTTAATAAATCTTTATTGATTTCAGAGAGGAAAGGAGAGAGAGAGAGAGAAACAGCAATGATGAGAGAGAATCATCAACCAGCTGCCAGCTGCCTTCTGCACACCCCACACTGGCGATCAAACCCACAACCCAGGCATGTGCCTTGACTGGGAATCACACCATGACCTCCTGGTTTATAGGTTGATGCTCAACCACTGAGCTATGCTAGCCGGACAAGAGGGAAAAGTTTTTTTGAGTTTCTTTTTTAAATGAACTTGTAGAACATTATCAAGTGGCCCAGAATGGAATTTGAGTCTCAGAAGGAGAGGAGTCAGGAAAGGGTCAGATAAAATGATAACTAACGAATACTGCAAACACACAGAAACAAGCAATTCTTCAAACAGGATCAACACAAAACCATACCGAGGCATATCACAATTTAGATCATTCATGTTGCCTCTCTCAGATGAACACAGCCTGCCCCCCCCCCAACTAGAAAGGTAATAATATATATATTATTATTATTGAGGCAGAAAAGTATAAATAAGAAAGTTAAAACCACTCTGAAGTCCTACCATCTAGAGAGAGCATGTTGGTGATCATCTCTTCCAGATATTTTTCTGTCTATAGTTGCCTCTATACACAAACACTTGTTTATAAATGGATCATAATACTCTTGTTGCTGCTTTATGTATTTCTTACAGTAAAATATACATAACATAAAATTGACCATTTTAACTATTAAGTATACGGTTCAGTAACCTTAAGTCTATTCACATTGCATTGTAACCATCGCCACTGTTTATCTCCAGTACTATTTCATCCTATACTGAACTCTGTACCACTAAGTGATAACTCCATTTCCCCCTCTCTGACATTCCCTCGTAATCACTGTTCTACCTTCTGTCTCTATAATTTACTTTTAGATTACCTCATAAAAGTGGAATCGAACCATGTTTTTCTTTGAATAAGGGTTATTTTACTTAACATAATGCTTTTAAGATTCATCCATGTAATTATATATATCAGAATTTCCTTTTTAAAACTGAAACCGGTTTGGCTCAACAGATAGAGCGTCGGCTTGCGGACCAAAAGGTCCCGGGTTCAATTCTGGTCAAGGGCATGTACCTTGGTTGCAGGCATATCCCCAGTAGAGAGTGTGCAAGAGGCAGCTGATTGATGACTCTCTCTCATCTCATCTATCTCTCTTCCTTCTTCTGTACAAAATCAATAAAATAAATTTTAAAAAAACCTGAATAATATCATATTGTATGTTTGTACTTCATTTTGTTTATTGATCTATCGATGGACATCTGGGTTATTTCTACCTTTTGGCTGTCGTGAATATGCTGTTATGAACACGAGTGTACAATTATCTGTTTGAGTCCCTGCTTTAAATTCTTTTGTGTATATACCCCAGAAATGGGTCAAATAGTAATTCTGTATTTAAATTTTGAAGAGCGTAGTATTTTGAAGAATTTGAAGAATTTTGTAGTGTTTTCCATAGGACTGTACCATTTTACATTTTTGACATCAAGGATGTGGAAGAAAGTCCTGTGCATGCCCGGGGAAAGATGCAGACTCTGGAAGACCTGAGGAGTCTAAGTTTACACCTCAAGCTGAATCTCAGCACAGGCATCCTAATACAATAAAAGTTTTAAAAAATAGCAAATCCCGGGGAAAGTGGGAGAACCTGATTTCCAGAGTTATGTGATGATTCAAAGGTCCCATTTTTAACAACAAAAATCACAAGGCATCCAAAGAAACCTAAAGTATTGTCCATTCAGCAATAAGTAAATGAGCAGAAAACGTTCATGAGAAAGACTAGATGACATATTTACTAACAAAAACTCTAAAACAGCTGTCTTAAAGAGGTATAAAGTAAGATGTGGACAAAATTAAGAAAAGTATGTATGAACAAAATGGGAATATCACTAAAGAGATAGAAAACAATGAAAATAAATCAGAAATGCAGCAGCTTAAAGGAATAATAATTGAAATGAAAATTTGTTAAACTTATTTTTTAAAAAATAAGTTTTTATTGATATCAGAGAGGAAAGGAGAGGAAGAGATAGAAACATCAATAATGAGAGAGAATCATTGATCAGCTGCCTCCTGCATGCCCTTCACTGGGGATTGAACTGCAATCTGGGCATGTGCCCTGCCCAGGAATTGAACTGTGACTTCTAGTTCATAAGTTGACACTCAACTACTGAGCTACAGTGGCCGGCCAACTTCTACTTTTACTCTTAAATTACTCTAACGTTGTGTCTGGAAATAACAAATACCCACCACATTAATTAGCTTACTTTTGTTTATATTCTCCTTTTTCCTATTTAACAGACATATTTAGATCACAATAAGAACAAATTTGAGTACCAATAAATCTCCTGGTTTACCCTTAAATTTTTGTAGTTTTGTGTTGTGCTTTAAATTAATTTATTTATTTATTCTGCTTTAAATTTAGACATTCAAAGAGAAGAAGAAAAAGTGAAACGCTCTGTGAAAGATGCTGCCAAGAAGGGTCAGAAAGACGTCTGTGTGGTCCTGGCCAAGGAAATGATCAGGTCAAGGAAGGCTGTCAGCAAGCTCTATGCATCCAAAGCTCACATGAACTCTGTGCTCATGGGGATGAAGAACCAGCTGGGTAAGAAGGCATTACCTGCCGTCACCTTGTTAATGCTGATGCTCTTGCTGTTATCAGTTCCGGTTTCCATGAATAGAAAGAACAGTCTCAGCTCTGATTTCTTTTTTCATGTTATTTTTATTTTTTTGTCTTCACCTGAGGATATGTTCATTGACTTTAGAGAAAGAGGAAGGAAGCCAGAGAGAGAGAAATGTTTATTTGTTTCCTCCTATATACACCCCAACTGGGATTGAACCCACAACCCAAGCATGACCAGGAATTGAACCTGCAACTTTTTGATGTATCTATTAGATGACGCTCCAACTAACTGAGCCACTCAGCCAGGGCTTTGACATATATATATATTTTTTTATCATCGTCTTAGTTTGGCTGTTATATAAAATGCAGAATATTACTATCATTATTTTATTGTTACTTTTCTTTTGCTAGTGTTGTTGAAGTAATGGCTGTCTACACATAAAACTGCTTTGTTTAAAAGTTAGAATGTGCTTGGACGGTGTTGCTCAGTGGTTGAGCATCGACCCATGAACCAGGAGGTCACGGTTCAATTCCTGGTCAGGGCACATGCTTGGGTTTCGGGCTCAGCTTCTGATAGGGGGAGTATAGGAGGCAGCTAATCAATGATTCTCTCATCTTTGATGTGTCTCTCTCCCTGAAATCAATAAAGATATATTAAAAAGAAAGTTAGCCAAAACTGGTTTGGCTCAGTGGAAAGAGCGTTGGCCTGCGGACTGAAGGGTCCCAGGTTCGATTCTAGTCAAGGGCATGTACAATACATTGGTTGTGGGCACATCCCCAGTGTGGGGTGTGCAGGAGGCAGCGGATTGATGTTTCTCTCTCATCGATGTTTCTGGCTCTCTATCCCTCTCCCTTCCTTTCTGTAAAAAATCAATAATATATATATATATATTAAAAAATTAGAATGTATTTCCTCATGTGAACAGTGTTATAGAGGGACCTGAGAGTTGAGTTGGAGTTAAACTTTGCATCCAGTTGGTTTCTGTTCTTACTTAATTTCTATTAAATGAAGACATCCTAATGTAGAACTATAGTTACTGAGAATGGCAGCAAATGACTATCGGAAATTTATACTTAGTATGGGCTCAGAAATTATGGAGAAATTTTTCACTAAAGAGTATTGTCAGCTCTCTGTCAGATACTACATTGAAGAGCACATCACCCTCAAAAGTTAGAAGACTGAATTTTCATTGTAAAGGTTCCAAATTAGTACCTAATCCATTATTTGATTGTATTTAGTTCTGAAGTTATTTCTTTACATTCAATTTTAATTTAACACTTGGATGTAGCTTTTAAATATGCATAATGTCTGCATCATCAATTTCTTTCTCCAGATACTGAGGAAAATAATCATGGGTTGGGAAAGAGTAAAAATATGACAAACTCATTGTACCACATCTTCTTAACTTTAAAAAAATATATATTTTATTGATTTTTTACAGAGAGGAAGGGAGAGGGATAGAGAGTTAGAAACATTGATGAGAGAGAATCATCGATCAGCTGCCTCCTGCACACTCCCTGGTGGGTATGTGCCCGCAAACCAAGGTACATGCCCTTGACTGGAATTGAACCTGGGACCTTCCAGTCTGCAGGCGATGTCTATCCATTGAGCCAAACTGGTTAGGGTACGTCTTCTTAACTTTTAAAAACTGTTATTTCAGCCGTAGAGTAATGTATTTAGGCTTTTTAAATACTGGATATATCACTTCTCTCTATGCCTTTGAACAAGCCAAGTGTTCAGTAACATGAAGAAATAGTTTTATCTTATGTTATTTTAAAATATTTATATTTTTATTGATTTGAGAGAGGGAGAGAGAGATAGAAACATCAATGATGAGAATCATCAATTGGCTGTCTCCTGCAACCCCTTAGTGGGGATTTAGCCCATAAACTAGGCATGTACCCTGGCCAGGAATCGAACTGTGACCTCCTGATTTATAGGTCAGTGCTCACCACCGAGCCACCCAGTTTGGGCTTATCTGTCATTTTGAAAACTCAAGTAAATACTCTTGCCTTTTACAGCCAGCTTTGAAAGTTTCATGTTTATTCCCTATTTTCATATTCCCTATTTTTATGCAACATGCTGAAAAGATGCATGTTCAGTTGACCATGAGAAACTTACTATAAAATTTTTCATTATTTTCGTTACCGAATCAACATCAGAAAACATTGTGCTTATTGTGCCTTCTCTCCCCTACCCCATCTAGGAATAGAGCACAGTATGCATAGCCTCTTTTTCCCCCAATTGCAAAGTTAAAAGTACCCAGGATAATACAGTAGAGACTATGTACCTATTGCCTAGAACCAGTAAAATTTGATATTTTGTTACATTTGCCTCAGTTTTTATATTATAAAATATTATTACTAAACTTGAAGCTCCTTTAATATACCTTTCCAATTCCATTCCTTCTCTCTCACCCTCCCTAGAGGAAACCAGTATCATGAATCTTAAAATTTGTATAAATGGTATTACATTATATACACCAATTCCTTATCTTTGTACCATGTATCATTGTACTTTTGAAATATACTCAGTGATAAATATGTACTTTAGTGGTTGGTATTGCATTATATGTATGTGTCATATTTTATTTTTATTTCCCCCATTGGTGAGCATTTAGGCTATTTCCAGTGTTGCTAACAGTACTGCTGTGAATGTCTCTTCACTCTTGCATACGTCAAGTGGTTTCTTTAAGACAATTATATATGCAGAGTGGAATAGCTGCATTAAATTATTCTAGAATTGCAAAATTGCTCTCTACAGAGGTCTTACTAATTTATATTTCAGCAGCAGATGAGAGTTCTTTTTTCCATATCTTTTTATAGTCAGACTTTTTAAACTTTAAGTAGTGTTACCTTGTTTAACATTTCTGGGAACTAGTGAACTTGATCACTCTCTTCTGTCACCTTTTCTCCCTGTGTACTGAGTCCAAAAAAATCTTTTCAATCAATAACTCCATTAATTTACGTGGGGGGGAAAAAATCTTTTCTCCCATAGCATGTATTTTCAGTGGTAAACATGAAAAAAGCTTTCTCAGGTACTGCACATAAGTCAAGAGCTTGTTACCCTTTAAATGTACATTCCTAACAATATGTTGTTTTTTAAAATGTATATTACCCTGTAGTTCTATCACAACTGAGAAGTAAAGTATTTGCCCTTCGATCTTTAAATGTTAAAGGGCTATAGGCTCTCTTCCATCTTCTAACCTCATGATCCCATCTAGCCTCGTGCCTTTAAATGCTGTTGATATTTGAAGTTTTGTCTTCAGCCTGACTTCCTCATGAAGTGTATAGTTGGCATCTCCACTCAAGTCTTAATGAGTATATCAAAATTAATATGCCCAGCCGAAACCGGTTTGGCTCAGTGTATAGAGCATCGGCCTGCAGACTGAAGGGTCCCAGGTTCGATTCCGGTCAAGGGCATGTATTGTATCTTGGTTGCGGGCACATCCCCAGTAGGAGGTGTGCAGGAGGCAGCTGATTAATGATTCTCTTTCATCATTGATGTTTTTATTTCTCTCTCTTCCTTCCTCTCTGCAATAAATAAAAATGTTGTTTTAAAAAAGGAGAAGAGAGAGGGGAAATGGGGGAGGTCGCATTAAGTGTAAGTTTCATGAGAACTTTCTCCAGTCTCTTCAGCAAATAGACTTAAGTTACAAAGAGCAAAATGTTTTAATTTAATAAATACATTCTTTTAGTCCCTGTTATGTACTATAAAAATGCTGGGCACTGGAGATAAAACAGTGAACATTACAGGCACAGTATTGCCCTCTAGGTATGGAGTGAAAGCAAATAATTGGATAAGTTTAATAAAGTAATAAAATACATGTATATTTATAATTGTGTTAAGCACTAGGAGACTGTAAAAGGGAAATGCAGTCAAAAGTGGCTCCTGCCAAAACCAGTTTGGCTCAGTGGATAGAGCGTCGGCCTGCGGACGGAAAGGTCCCAGGTTCAATTCTGGGCGAGGGCATGTACCTTGGTTGTGGGCACATCCCCAGTAGGGGGTGTGCAAGAGGCAGCTGATTGATGTTTCTAACTCTCTATCCCTCTCTCTTCCTCTCTGTAAAAAATCAATAAAATATATTTAAAAAAAAAAAAAAAGTGGCTCCTTACAGCACGGATGAAACCTGAAGGAGAAGGAACAATTAAGTGTATGTGTTGGTGGGATGCTCCAACTGGAGTGTCAGTATGTGTAAAGGTGATGGGCAGAGACAATAGTGCACTCCGCTCTGAAGGAAGGTCTGGGAGATTGGGTAGTTGATGGCCAGTAAGGGTGAGCAGGGAAGTGAAGAAGGTGGGGGTTTTTTTGGTTTTGTTTTTTTTATTTTTTTTATTTTTTGTTAACCTTCACTCAAGGATATTTTTTTGTATTGATTTTTAGAGAGAGTGGAAGGGAGGGGAAGAGACAGAGAGAAACATTAATATGAGAGAGACACATCGATTAGTTGCCTACCTCATGCACCCTGACCAGGGCTGGGGATCGAACCTACAATCCAGGTATGTACCCTTAGATGGGATCAAACCTGGGGTCTTTCAGTCTGTGGGCCCATGCTCTATCCACTGAGCCAAACCGGCTAGGATAAGAAGGCATTTTTTTTACAGCTGTTAAAAGCAAGAGTTCTTAGAAACACGTTCAAACTGAGATGCCCTGTGGCTACGGAGCAGATAAAATGCAGTGGGAGTTCAGAGGAAAAGTATTTGGGGGAGAATCAGGGAGGCAGCTGAGTAGAGGAACTAGAGTGCACACAGGCTCAGGTGAAGTATTTCAAGCTGTGTTCAGCCAGCTGAGCTTGATTCAGTTTGATGAGAGTGCATTAAGGAGAGCAGTGGGAGGTGAAGCTGCAAAGATGATTTGGAGTCAAGCTGAGAGTTTAGCTGAGGAATTGTCATTTCTTTCTTAGGCAGCGGAGAGCCTTGGCACACTTACGCACAGACTGCAGGTGCAGCGAGTGGGGCGGCGGGACCTGGGGGGTAGGGGGCAGAGCCTGATACGTCCGTCCGCTGGGTGACATGGAATGAGGACTAAAGGAGGAGCTGTTCTGCATGCAGAGTACTAGTGAGTGGGACTTGGAGGTGACAAAATGCCAAGGGACAAATGGTTAAAAATTGGGACGTCTGGTCACCTTAGAATAGGGGTGTCGAACTCAATCAGAGAAGGGGCCAAAATCTAAAATCCAGCCTAAATCTCGGGCCGAATGGTTTACTGAACAGTAATAAACTGTCATTGTGATGGAAACGCAGCGGAGTGCAGTGATGACAGCGCGGTGCGGGCCACATTGCAAGGCCTGGCGGGACGGATTTGGCCCGCAGGCCTTGTGTTTGACACATGTGCCTTAGAAGGTATAGACAAGCCGGAGATGTGCCAAACCCTTGAACATGGAAAGGCTGCAGGGCCATTAAGACACTGGGGACCGAGGGAGAGGAAAAGGCCTGGGAGAGAAAGGAGATTCTGGGTGGTCCAGATCGCTGGAGGAGGATAATCCCCTGGCTTCCCTGCCTGGTGAGAGGAATCCCCAGGGAGAGAAATGAGGGGGTTTATTATAAGGTGTTGCTTGTTGATAAATACAGCAGAGAAGGTACATGAGGACAGAACTTGGGACAGGCAAGAGGAAGGAGTCTACATTTAGGGAGTGAGAGGGGAAAATTAGAAATTGTGTAATAAGAGTTCCTGAGAGGTCTTGGCTTCAGATGTGCCCATCCCACCCCTTGGCCTGTTGCTGCTTTGAAAATCCATGATTGGATGCAGTCATTCCTTTTTCTAAAGTGCAGATGTCCCTGGGAAGGGTAGTATGCTAACCTTGTCAGCAGTGAGTACATGGTAATGATCAGATGCTTTCCAAGTGAAGCTTTCTGACAGCTTTCCACTAATAAGAGATGATAGTATGTTTTGATTGAGGGGAGAAAGTGAAGGGACAGGTTCAGAGGTGGGGCAGGAAATAGAGGCCTGGAGGAGGAGCTGTCCTGCATGCAGAGCACCTGGTCACCTGGTGCAGAAGTGTATCCGCAGATACCTTAATGGCTTTGGAAATTCACACACTACTGTTTCCTTTTCTTAGAGTGGCTTGTGATTTTACTCTCTTTTTTTCATCCTGTGGTCCTTCTATTGAGCAGTGCTTCTCTTTCAGCGGTTTTGCGAGTGGCCGGTTCCCTGCAGAAGAGCACAGAAGTGATGAAGGCCATGCAGACTCTCGTGAAGATCCCGGAAATCCAGGCCACCATGCGGGAGCTGTCCAAAGAGATGATGAAGGTGACCTTGGGCTAGCCCTGCGTCCTGCCAGGTGTCACGCTCAGCAAGTGGCAAAGGCTGGGGCTGGGTTGGGCAGGAATGGACGGAGCACTGTGGACAGACACTGAGGACAGAGGGGCGGCAGTTAATATCGGTTAAAACCACTTGAGCTGAGCATGGCAGAGGCTGGGTCAGATTGCCAGAGTGCCCCTTAGAGGAAGTGGAAGTGTACCCAGAACTCTTGGGGAAGTTGGATCCAGGGAACAAGTGTTTTGGATTCGGGAAGCTGGAGTTTACAGGCTCCGACAGGAGTACAGAGACAGACAGTGCCCAGGTTCCTCTGGAGAAGGGTTTCCTTTTGGCCCTTTGCCTTTCTGCAGAGAGGGCAGCATCCAGGGTTTCCTGTGGCAGATGGTCTTATGTGTTAACCCTCAAAAGGGTGGCCTGGCCTGGGAGACGCTGTGTTCACTAGGCACTCGCCCTTAAAGGTGTCTTTGGAGAACAGATTTAACTGTTGGAAGTCACCTGGTTTATCTGTGTTTAGGCAGGGATCATAGAAGAGATGTTGGAGGACACTTTTGAAAGCATGGAAGACCAGGAAGAAATGGAAGAAGCAGCAGAAATGGAAATTGACAAAATTCTGTTTGAAATTACAGCAGGTATGACCCTGACATTCATCCCTCCTCATCTCCTTTTATGGCCATTCTTCCTGCATTCACTGAATTAGCTAGTGGCTTTTTCTTTAGGCTATAACTTCCTTACTTACACATTTTTAATTTTAGATTGTGCAAGTTATTTCTTAAAAAATAAGCACATTATCTACAAACATCTTTTTTAGGACACAGAAATAAAGAGATTTTTTTTTTTTTTTTTAATTCCTATAGTTTTCAAGTTGAAAGGTGAAGTATTGGTGTCACACTGCATTTGGGAGTTTGAATTGGTGTAGAATTTCTATAAAGTAATTTGGCAATAGCTATCAAAAGCCCTTGACCTAAAAGGTTGACTTCTGGTAGTTTATCGTAGTAATTAAAGATGGCTGAATGATTTAACTCAAGGATGTCCATAGTAGTCTTGTTTATAATATTGAAGTTCTAAACAAGTTAAATGCCTAATAACAGAATATTGGTTAAGTCAAATATGTTACATATGTTTTAATGGAATGCATTACAGTTGTGATAGGTAATGTAGAAATAAATATATTAGTGACATGTAAATATGTTCATAATGTATTATGTGAAAAAAGCCTTTAGAATTACACATTTTTATGTAAGTCACATCTATAGGAAAATGGTAGTTATCTCTGAGTGATGGTTAATGAGGTTTATTTGGGTTTTTCCCCTGTTCTTTTTTTGAAGTTATTTTTCACTTACAGTTGACATACAATATTATATGCTAGACACAACATGTGTTCATACTATGTTCAGGTATACAACATAGTGATTAGACAATTATATCCTTATGAGGTAATTACCCTGATAAATCTAGTACCCATCTGACACAATACATACATATATATTTTTTAAATTTTTCACTTATTGATGTTGTTGGAGAGGAAAGGAGAAAGAGAAACATTGATATGTTCCATCTATTTAGGCATTCATTAATTCTTGTATGTGTCCTGACTAAAGATCAAACCCATAACCTTGGTGTATTGGGCTTGATCTACTGAGCTACCCAGCCAGGGCACATATATATTATTGACTACATTCCATGTGCTGTACTTTATATTCCTGTGACTATTTTTATAACTGGTAATTGTACTTCATAATGACTTTCACCCATCTGTCCAACCCTTCTCCCATCTGTATCTATGAGTTTGTTTCTGTTTTTTTGTTTGTTCATGTACTTTATTTTTTACATTCTACACATAAATGGAATCATGTGGTATTTGTCTTTTTCTGTATGACTTAGTTCACTTAGTATAATACCCTCCAGGTCCATCCATATTGTTGTGAATAGTAAGATTTCATTCTTTTTTATGGCCATTGAACTGGTATATATGTACCACATCTTCTTTATCCAGTCATGTATTGATGGACACTTAGGTTGTTTCCACTTGGTTATTGTATATGAAATGACCTTCTTTGTCTTTTGTGATAGTCTTGGTTTTAAAGTCTTATTTTGTCTGATATAAATATTGGTACCTCCAGCTTTATTTAAATTTACATTTGCATGAAATACGTTTTTCCATCCCTTTATTTTCAGTCTTTGTGTGTCTTTCCATCTAAAGTGGGTCTCTTGGCAGCATGTTGCCTTGTCTTCCAGATCACTGATTTGATCCTCTGCTTCATCTAATGTGCTGTAGATTCTCACTAGTTTATTCTTCCTCTGCTTCATCTAATCTGCTGTAGATTCCCACTAGTTTATTCGTTTCAGTTATTGTATTTTTTTTATTTTTTTAAAATACATTTTTATTGATTTTGTACAGAGAGGAAGGGAGAGAGAGAGTTAGAAACATCGATGAGAGAGTCATCGATCAGCCGCCTCCTGCACAACCCCCACTGGGGATATGCCCGCAACCAAGGTACATGCCCTTGACCAGAATCGAACCCGGAACCCTTCAGTTCCCAAGCCGATGCTCTATCCATTGAGCCAAACCGGTTTTGGCAGTTATTGTATTTTTCATTTCTGACTTCTTAAATATATTTCTAACCTATATCCTGTTTTCTGTTTTCTATCTCTTTGTTGAAGTTCTCAATGAGTTCATCTATTTTTCTCCCAAATTTATTGAGCATTTTTATAACAAATGTTTTGTACTCTGTATCTTGTAGATTGCTTCTCTCCATTTCTTTTCATTCTTTTTCTGAAGTTTTGTCCTAGTGTTTCCTTGGGGGCATGTTTTTATCTCCTTTTGGCTGACTCCCTGTGTTTGTTTCTATGTATTATGTAAATCTGCTTTGTCTCCCAGTCTTGACAGAGTGAAGTTTTATAAAAAGTGTCCTGTGTGGCTCATTGACACAGTCTCCTTGGTCTTCTAAGCCAGGTGCTCCAGGAGTGTCCCTTTTGTAGGATGTAGTTGAGCTCCAAATGCTGCCAGCATGTCAGCCGTTTGGTTTGACCCTCAGGCTGACTGGCTGTGAGCGCTGGCTGCCAGGATAATGGACAAGGTGTGGTATAAGGCTGATTCCACAGACCTGGAGTCACTTTGGTGGGGCTCTGGTGCCAGCCAAGCCTGACCTTAGGGTGTGTCAGTTGTGGAGCTACTTGGTCCAGGCTCTGGTCTGATCTGAAGCTGGCCACTAGGTTTATTGGGTCTGAGGCCTCTTGGGAGTGTCTCTGGTGCAGGCCAAGGTCAGCCACCACTTGTGCTGGTCTTAGGAGCTACAATGCATGCTAAGGCCAGCCATCATACATGTGGGATTTGTGGATCTTTGAAAAAGTCTGCAGTGCAAGTCTAGGGTGCCATGAGAGGTGTACAGATTTGGGGGAATGTCTGTAGCTTGAGCCACGGTGGGCTGTTTGTGTGAAAGAGCTGCTGAAGAGGCTCAGGCCAGGCAAGGGACTTGTGTGGGGCAGGGTTTTGGTATCACCAAGGCAGGGTGAGCAGTGTTAGCCAATTTAAACGAGAGAGCAAATCTGATACTTTCCAGTACTTGGACCCCTGGAGAGAGTTGCCTTCTCCCCTATCCCTCCAGCTCTTTCCCTGAAATCAGTCAATTTAGTTCCTCCCCACATGTCCCTCCTCCCATACACTCCTGATGCTTTTCATGCTGCTGCCCCTGTGCAGGAACTTAGAGACAGTGAGTATGTGAACGAGTGAGTCTGTGTGGTCTCTATATAATCAGCACCTCGGTCTGTAGCGGCCCTTCGTATTGCTCAGAGCAATCCCTGCTAATCTTCACAGCCAGATATTATGGGCACTTCCCTTCCCAGCACTGGAAAGTGGTTTGTGGCTGACATCCCTCACTCTCTGCAGCCGAGATACCCCTCCCATTTCTTTTCTTTTTAAAAAATATGTTTTGAGAGGGAGAGAGGGATAGAAACATCGATGAGAGAGAAACATCACATCAGTCGGCAGCTGCCTCCTGCACACTGCACACTGGGGATCAAGCCTGCAACCTGGGCATGTGCCTGACTGGGAATCAAACCCGTGACCTTTTAGTGCATGGGTCAACGCACAACCTCTGAGCTAGCACGGGCGAGGTTCCCTCCCATTTCTTAATTGCCACACCGTGGTTGTGAGATATGTTCAGCTAGATGTGAATTCTGTACGGCTAGTCTTCGGGGGTTCTCAGTGGTGGTTCTGTAATTCAGTTGTAGTTTTGATGTGACTGTGGGAGAAGGCCAGTACAGCATCTACTCTGCCATCTTGATCAGAAGTTGAGTTTTTAATCTTTATTTTTACTTCTGGATTTTCTGAATTTCAAGTTTGAGAAAATATATATAATTGGTGAGATTTATTGTTTTTTTTATTTGTTTTCATTTATTGGGGGATAAAGGGGTAGTTACTCCATATTCAAAAAAACATTTTTTTGAAGATTTAGAAACAATTTAGTTAGATTTGAAATCTTCATGAATCTTGAAAATTAAGTGTTCAATAGTGTTTAGGAATCTAGATCAAGAGCTTCAGAATCAAAATTCTTTTTTTTTTTCTTCATTTTTTCCATCACCATTTATTTCCTCTGTGCTTTCTTCCACCTCTCCCCCCCAGTCGCCTCACTGGTGTCCATGTCTACAAGGTGTCTGTCTCCCTCCCTCCTTCCCTCTCTCTCTCTCCTCTCTCTCTGCCTCTCTTTCCCTCTCTCTCTCTCTCTCTCTCTCTCTCTCTCTCTCTTTTTTTTTTTTTTTTGCTTAATTCCTCCACGCCTCTACCCCTGCCACCAGATCTGTCTGCCTGCTCTTATGAGCCTGTCCCTATTGTACTTGGTAGTTCAGTTTGTTCATTCACAACCAAAATTCTTAAAATCAGAATCTTTCTGGTTATTATGACTTTGGTGTCATTACAAGTTGGTATTTGCACATTTGTCATGAGCAAAACCTCAGCCTAAACAGCTTGTTCTATTGCCCCTTCTCTGTCAGGCTGACCCTGGCCTGAAGGCGGGATGGGGATGGACCATGTCCTAAGCCAACGTGTTGCTGATCTGTTCACTGTTTCCTTTCAGGGGCCTTGGGCAAAGCACCTAGTAAAGTGACTGATGCCCTTCCAGAGCCTGAGCCTCCAGGAGCCACGGCCGCCTCAGAGGAGGAGGAGGAGGAGGAGGAGGTGCTGGAGGCCATGCAGTCGCGGCTGGCCACGCTCCGCAGCTAGGGCCGCCCGCTGAGCCTGAAGCTCTCCATGGCCAGCCCGCCGGTGTGCGCACTCCGCTGAGCGGCCGCTGTTTATGTATCTCTTGCACTACGCCTCTGGAGGAAGCTTTGCGTTCTGGAGAAGGTTTTCTTCACTCTCTGCAGAGGTTTTGGGGTCTCAAAGGATTGTTCTGGGGACGTGATGTAATAAATGCATCATTTACTGGAGTAGAAACAGAAGAATCTTTGGAGGGAGGGCAAGAATTTGGTCTTCTCGAAAAACACTTCTGAGAATAGAATTCATTGCCTGATGTTGAGGACTCTGTACATTTTTTTGTCTGTAAAACACTATATAAATGGGTTTTAATAAATTTCTGCTTTAACACTTGGTCTCCTTTTAGGTTATCATGTGCAATGAACTTTCCAGGTATTGGCTCTTCCAAATTATTTCATTATGGAAATAATGTGGAAAGAGAGCAGAAGACTTGGAAGCTCAGGAGAAGGGCTTCTCCCCTGTAGATGCTTCTCCCCAGCCTTCACAGGCGTAGCATGGGGCCGCTGTGTGCTTTTGCCTTCTGTTTAACTAAAAAGATGCTTGGAAATTATGACCCTTTGTCCTGTTTCAATGGCTGTTTTAACGTCCTGAAGGTTATGTAGAGGGAGGATAGGTGGGCTTTCCTTCCCTTCCTTCCCATTGCAAGTTGTATCCAGAGCAGAGAGCTATGAGATTAGGACCTTTTTGGGTTGCCTGTCCCTGCTTTGAGCTGGTTGTCTTGGGTGCCTGGGATATGGGTCTACCTATAAGTGCTTTCTCTAAGCCAGGGCTGACCAGTGAGAGGCATGGTGTGGCCATGCATTGTAATCAGCTCTCACACATCTCAAATATTCCTACATCACATTTATAAATCAGTAGCAATTTATATGTGTTTGACAGTTTATAAAGCTCTTCATTTGACACATGATTTCACTCAATCTTTACAAATAAGAAAAAGAGCTCACCTTGCACAGGATGCAACCCAGATCCCTGTGGTCCAGGTCCTTGTACAGGAACCACACAGGAAAAAACCCGGCCGCTCGTCACAGGTTGGTTTTTGTAGATTGCATAGAGAAATCCTGAAGTGTCAGGTGTCCCTGCAGTGAGGCTGTTCTAGTCTTGTCATGCAAAACGGAAATCTTGAATCCAGGGACCGTCCTATTACTCTTGATTTTATCTTCAGAATCCACTTTGTTTTTTAAGTAAAAATTTTTTTAGAGCAGTTTCAGGTTCATATGACAATGACTGGGAAATACAGAGTTCCCATATGCCTCCTGCCCCAACTCATGCTGACTTCCCATTTCTCCTGTTCACCTCCCACACTACAGAAGTACATTTGCTACATTAGTAATGGCCTCTTCCCATTACTAAAATGCATGTAAGTTTTCTCCATTTTCTTTGGTGGCTTGGTAGGTCATTTCTTTTTATTGCTGAATTTCCATTGTTTGGATGAATCACACTATTTGTTCATCTACTGAAAGACATCTTAGTTGCTTTCGGGTTTTGGCAACTGTGAATAAAGCTGTAAATGTTCATGTGCAGATTTTTGTGTGGATATATGTTTCAACTCATTTTGGGTAAATACCAAGGAGCACCACTTCTGGATCACATGGTAAGAGTATGTTTAGTTTTATAAGAAACTGCCAAACTGTCTGTACCGTTTTTGCATTCCTGCCAGCGATGTATGAGAGTTCCTGCTGCTCTTCATGCTTAGCCACTTTGGTGGTCGTGTTTTGGATGTTGACCATTCTAACCGCTGTGTAGTAGTATCTCACTTATAATTTGCAATTCTCTAATGACATGATGTTGAACATCTTTTCATGTTTTTTTGTGTTGTTTTTGCCATCTGTGGATCTTCTTTGGAGAGGGATCTGTTTAGGTTTTTTGCTCATTTTTCTTTTGTTTTTCTCCATAACCATTTATTCCCCCATAAAGTCGTTCACCTCCACAACTCTCTCTACCCCACTCCCCGTCCTCCAATTACCACACTGTTGTCCATGTCCGTGAATTCTTTCTTCCTGTCTTTTTCTTTCCTTTTTTGCTCAAACCCTCTGCCCATTTTTGAATTGGGTTGTTCGTTTCCTTCTTGAGTTTTAAGAGTTCTTTGTGTACTTGGGGTAATAGTTCTTTATCAGATGTGTGTTTTGCCAGTATTTTCTCCCAGTCTGTGGCTTCTCTTCTCATTCTCTTCACATTGTCTTTCATGGAGCAGAAGTTCTTCATTTTACTGAAGTCCAACTTAGCGATTATTTGTCTCATGATTGTGCCTTTGGTGTTGGATTGTAAAAGTCCTCACCACACCCAGGGTCACCTGCATTTTCTCCTGTGTTGTATTCTAGGGGTTTTATAGTTTTGCGTTTTACATTGAGGTCTGTGATCCATTTTTATTTAATATTTATGAATCATTTAAGGTCTTTATCTAGATTTTTATCTTCGCTCATGGACGTCCAGTTGTTCCAGTACCATTTGTTGAAAAGACTGCTGCGTTTTATTATCCTTGCTCCTTTGTCAAAGATGAGTTTACTATATTTATGTGGGCCTGTTTAAGGCTCTGTTTTGCTTCATTGATGTATTTGCCTGGTCTTTTACCAATACCACACTGTCTTTTTACTTTCCACTCTGTTGATTCATGTGGCGTTAACAGTAAATGTTGAAGTCAGAACAAGTGCTCCGGCTTTGTTTTTTCCCCTTCAGTATTGTATCGGGTATTCTGTCTTTCACCTCTTCATACACACAGTAGAATTGATCTGTCAACATCCACAAATTTGCTGGGATTGTGGTTGGGATTGCATTGAGTCCATAAATCAAGTCGAGAAGTATTGCCTTGTTGGCAAGATACCTACCGTTTTACGATTGCATTTATCTGGCTAGTTTACACACAGCATGATATTGGAATTAAGTGCTCATATCCCTGGGCATTTTGGATCTTATGTGGATAGTCAGGATTTATCCAGGTGGGTGGACGGACAGTCAGAATAAATAATAACCACTGTTCCAGCCATTTAAGTAAAAGGGTCTAAATGTATGTCTTGTTTTAATTGTTTAGAGGGGGTTCTATATTCTTCATTCCTGCTTTGAGGCCAGGGAAAGAACAGTGTTGGCTCAGTATCATGTTCATGTTCCATTTCCCCTCGAAACTATTGGACATTTTGGAATAAAGGCGAGTCGGAGCCTCTCCTGGCCCTGGCAGGATCCCCGAGCCGGGAAGGGAGAGAGTGGTGTAAACAGCTGCAATGAAAGTGTTCCTCTGCTCAGGCCCTCCACTCTCCCACATTAACTACAGGTGCAATCTGTTTGGTGCCCTAAAACAATGTCAAAGGCACTCAGAATAGCATTCCACAGCACCCACTCATTTGTTTTGTTTTCAAACACAGCTTACTTTGTAAAAATCGCTGTCTAGCTTGTGGTAGTCACTCAGCAGGCAGCAGTGCACTCTAGGTAGATTGTAACCTCTCCCCATGTCACCTGTCAGCGATGACAGCTGTCGGCACCCACGGCTCACATGGCCTGGGCCCCTTGTCTTGCGTATTTCCAGGTGTGTCTCATTACTCCTGGAGAGAAGGGGCTATGACTCATATTTGTTCTCAATTAGTACGTCATGCCTGCCTCTTCACCGCTCGACACCCAGCTATGAAAACAGCTGTGAAACATGGAGCCTTCAAAGCTCTGAAGCACTGGGACTGTTTTTCTTTTCCTGCCCGAGTGACAGGTGCTCTTCAAATGCTGACACGTTACCAGTTAGCAAGGCTCTTAAGTGAAATAAACTTGGGAAATGCTTGGTTAAAGTAAACGTACATATGTTTCTTTACAACTTCTCAGAGCCTTTCATATGCTCTTTCCAAATGTGTTTGACCAAAACAGTTTTTTTGAGGTAGCAGAATTAACATTTTATAGCTCCTGAGCCATTTAAAAAATGCAAGTCTTTAAACCACAGTAGGGAAATATCTGTTTTTAAGCTAAGAAAATTCTACACATATAGTTTTAAAAGAGTGATGTCAGCAAAAATGTGGAGTAGACAGCTCCAAACACTCAGCCCTCCTAAGAAACATTGAAGAAGAAAAAAAAAAGTTAACCAACTTTGTCAGAATTCTGGAAAGCAAAAAGTTTACACTATCCAAATGAACAATGCATAAAGAAAAAAGAAACTTAAACACAAAGCCTGTGCATCTTTACGTGTCCTTGCCTCATTTGTTTCCAAGCTTCAGCTTGGCAGCAGTCTGGAAGCAGCTCACGTTATCAGCCTGGAGCCCTTGTTCCTAATTGCAGAGACACAGAGCAGACCTAATTCACAAATTATGTTTGCCTACCCTAACCTGTCCAGGGGTCATTCTGAACAACTACCATAAGGTGCTCATCTTTGGTGTGCCTATCTTGGAACTTAGGGTGGAAAAGCAGCAGTCATTGCTTTAAAACATGTAAAGGAGATTTTTAACCCTTTGCACTCTGAACCATTCTGGACATTGGCTACCAGCTACTTGACGCTACTTTGCGGCGGACACGTGCGTTGAATTAACTCAATTCCCCATAATCACTAATAAACTGCAATGTCCCCCCTGAGAGGGGACATCCGAGTGATATGCTAGAATTCCGATGTCCCCTGAGAGGGGACAGCGGAGTGCAAAGGGTTAAAATGTGCTCCCTCGGGAGAGCATGTCCTTGTCATCCCCTTCACCCTTCCCCCACAAGCACACATCTAAACTCCCAAGGACCCCAAAGACTTGCAACAGGGGAGCAATGGGCTGTGGCAGCTCATCCTAAACTAACACCCTCCACTTGTCTCCAAGGCCCCCTTTTCTCTGACTTCCCTGTTGCTCCTATGCTAATAAGCTTTAATAAGCATCCCATCTGAGTATGCTTTTGCTGTGGTCAGTTTTTTGCTGAAAAAAAAAAAAATACTGGGAGGAAAAGCCAGGCAGATGGTTTCTTTGGGATACTAAAGTACTCAAAAGCATCAGTATATATTGGGGAACTTAGAAAGCCACATGCATGCCCAAGACATGAAATATGCTCAGAAAAACCTGACAAGTACCTAAACATTCAACATGGCTAACCTACAGGCAGTGGGATAGAATCATATATGTCTGGTTAAGTGTTTAAAGATTGCCCCAGCAAAGAGTCCATAAAGACAGAGAATAAAATTTATTAAAAAAAAAAAAAAAAGAAAAAAGAAAAAAATACACTAGAGAGGCTCACCATCAGATTTGAGTAGGCAGAAGAAATGATCAGTGAACTTGAATGCATAATAATTTAAATGATCCAGACCAAGGAGCAGAAAGAAAAATGAAGAATGAGCATAGCCTAAAGCAGCGTTTTTCAACCGCTGTTCCGCGGCACACTTTGTTGCCTGGTGTGCCGTAGGTGCAGACAAGACAAGAATTTTATAATTTTTCACTATTTTGTTTACTTAATATTTCATAATAAAGTAATTATAAAATACTTTCTTTGTGTTTATTTGATTCCTATTCAAGAGAATTACTTTATATATAGTCAATATAGGCACAGAGTTAAATTTTTTAACATTTTCTAATGGTGGTGTGCCTCGTGATTTTTTTCATGAAACAAGTGTGCCTTTGCCCAAAAAAGGTTGAAAAACACTGGCCTAAAGGACTTGTGGAAGACCATAAAGCTCACCAATATATGCATTATGGGAGTTCCAGAAGATGAGAAAGGAGCAGAAATAGTACTTAAAAACACAATGGCTAAAACCTCCCATATCTGACCTTCCTTCAGAGATTCTGCACTCCGTTCCATGCTTCCATGATCACAGGTCTCGGGAGAAAGATAACCATATAACCAGACATCCTGAAAAGAGAGACCATGGGCAGACAAAGAAATAGCCCGCACATGAAAGAAAAGCAGGCATCACCAGAAAAGGAATTAAGTGAGTTAGAGGCAAGCAACCTACCAGAGCAGGAATTCAGAGTAATGATCATAAGATGGTTAAAAGAATGGAAGAGAAATTTGACAATAACCAAGAAGAAATGAAGAAGAACCATGAGGAATTGAAGAATAACCAAGAGGAATTGAAGAACCAAGTGGAAATGAAGATGAACCAAGAAGAAATGAAAAATGACATCGCTACCATGAACTCAATAGAAAGCATCAAGAGTAGACTAGATGAAGCAGAGGACCGCATCAGTGAGCTATAAGACAAGATGGAAAAAAATACCCAATTAGAGCAGCTTCTAGAAAAAAAAAATTAAAAAACAGGAGAAGAGCCTACGGGAGCTTTGGGACAATACAAAACAAAACAACATTCGAATAATAGGGGTTCCAGAAGGAAAGGAAACTGAGGTAGACATGGAAAAAGTATTTCAAGAAATAATGACAGAAAACTTTCCTGAGATAGAGAAGAAAAAACCCACACAAATCCAAGATGCTCACAGAGTCCTAAGCAAAATGAACCCCAGAAGACCGATGCCAAGGCACATTATAATTAAATTGGCAAACAACAATGACAAAGTAAGAATCTTAATAGCAGCCAGAGAGAGACAGAAAGTTACATACAAAGGAACCCCCCATCAGACTAGCA